TAGTGATGCTGTAAGCGTTTTTGTTTGTTTCTTTGCTGTCAACTTGACCCAAGTTGGTAAGAGGAATGCCAATTGAGGAATTGCCTCCATCACATTTGCCTCCAGACAGGACCATGGGGCATCAAATTCATTAGTGATTGATGAGTATACTGTGAACAATGTCACCCTTAGACAGGTTATTCTGGTTTGTATGAAAAAGGTAACTTAGCAAGCAATGGTGAGCAAATTAGTAAGCATCCCTCTATGCACCTGGTTCATTTTTTGCATCTAGTTTCTTGCCATGACGCCATTCCCTTCATGATATTTTGTGATTAAGATATATAAGGTGTAATAACCCTTTCCTTCCCAGATAGTCTTTATCACAACAATAGAAACAAAACTAAGACAGTAGGTAAGGAAAAACTGCAAGAGTTGCAGCATCATGCAGGCTTATATCAAGGTTCCTGAAAATTGCTGACTCCAGACAGTCTATACCAGCTATGGCCCATTCAGGGAAGCCCTAAGAGGCCATGGTGTGAAGCTGTGAAGGTGAAGCCTAAGTTAAAAATAAGCTCTGGTATGTTGGAGATGCCGGCTTCAAGGGGTGTTTACTGAGGAAGGATGCAGTCTGAAAAAGAAATGACATGTGCTACAGGCCTCCAAACTGGAGCAAGTTGTCTGTTCAAGCCTGAAGCCCAGATAATGCCGTCACAATTCTCAGATGTTAGACGTGGAGCTTCAAGGTTATTCTGAGGCTTTTCCACTTTGCTTTCATCTGAATTTCCTTGTCATCCTCTGACTCTAGCATTTTGGAATGTGAATGTCAACCTTGTGACACTTTACACCGGAAGTATGTAATTTTTTTTCTCGAAAAAGCAGTTTTTCTGGGATTCATAGTTAAAAGCTTAAATGTCAGTAGAGACTCAGATTTCTAGGAAGCATTGGGCATGCTAAGGCTTTGCACACATCTGAAGACGGATTAAGTATACTTCGCATTAATCATGAGGTGATAAGATTTTGCAGGTCAGGAGTGAAATATTATGTTTAAAATCATGTTTGGTAGTAATTAAGATGTGGAGCAAATCTCTTACATCCCTTGACAGATGAATGGATAAGTAGAATGTGGTATTTGCCCACAACACTATTATATTCAGTCACAAAGAAAAATGAAATCATGGCATTCGCAGGAAAATAAATGGACTAGAGATTACCATACTAACTTGCATAAGCCAGGCTCAGAAAGACAAATGTTGCAAAGAGAGACACACAAAGGCAGACTCACAAGACAAATGAATTTTCCTTCACCTGTGGATCTTAAATGTTAATGCTCATTGTGTACACGCATGCTTCTGTGGAGGCGTGTAAGCCACAGAACAAGGACGAGGATCCTTCCTCTCAGGCTGCCTCTTCACTGATGATGGCTAGCAGCTTCTGCCCAGTGCTTTTTCAGAGCAGCAGCAGCAGCAGCAGCAGCAACAACAACAAAATTCGTCTATAACCAAAACAGTGAACTAGTGATGCTGGGTTTGTTCTTTCCTACATCTCACTTGAAAATTTTTCTAACATGATTTATTCTTTTGTGGGCTTTATGAGTTTGCAAATCTTTCCCTCTTTAAGTGTAGTTTTAACTGTGGCTTAGGGGTCACCAATTACTTTAGTTTATTCTGATTGAGGCAGGCTTTTATCCTTCAGTTTTAAATAATAACTATTCTGGTTCATAGTCTTTGTTTCCTCTGGATTTTATGGTCTTTGCTGAGAAGTCTGTTTGTGTGATATATCTGACTGTCTAAGTAACTCATAATTTCTCCTTTGTGGCTCTTGGCTTTCATTCTCCATACTTGAGGCTTTTAAAATTAACTAATTAATTAATTAATTTTCCCATCCAGATCACAGTTTCCCCTCCTTCCCTCCGTCATCCCTCCTCCCTTTCCCCTTGCTCTCCTTCCTATCTCTCCCCTAACCTCCTCCATCCACCCCTCCTCCTTTCTCTTCAGAAAAGGTCTGGTCTCCCATGTATATCAGCCAGCCATGGAAAATCAAGTTGCAGTAAGACTAGGCAACCCCTCTCCTATTAAGGCTGAATGAGGCAAGACAGTAGGAGAAAGGGGTCCCCAAAACAGGTAACAGAGTCAGAAATAGACTCTGGTTCTACTGTTAGGAGTTGTAAAATGTTCCCAAGCCACACAATTGTAACATAGGTTCAGAGGACCTAGGTCAGTTCCATGCAAGTTTTCTTGTTGGCAGTTCATGCTCTGGGAGACACTATGAGCCCAACTTAGTGCCTTCTGTGTGTTTTCTTGTGCTGTTTTTTTGGAAAATTCCTGTGCCATGTAGTAATCAAAACAGTAAATTTACAGGACAAGAAAGAATATTAAAAACTGAAAAGGAAAAGGTCAAGTAAAACATAAAGGCTATAAAAGACCATGGATGCCAGCCCTTACTATTATACCCAGCAAAATTTTCAAGCACCATAGATGGAGAAAACAAGATATTTCACAGCAATGTTAAATTTAGATAATATATATCCACAAATATCTATCTATCTATCTATCTATCTATCTATCTATCTATCTATCTATCCAAAAATCCAACCCTACAGAAGGTATTAGAAGAAAAACCAAGAAGGTTAACTACATCCACAAAAAACACGAGCAATAAATAATCCCACACCAGCAAAACCCAAAGAAGGGACACACACACACACACACACACACACACACACACACACACACACACACAACTACTACTACTACTACTACCACCACCACCAAAATAACAAGAATTCACAATCATTTGTCATTGATATCTCTCAATATCAGTGTATTCAATTCCCCAATAAAAAGAAACAGGCCAACAGAATGGATATGAAAACATGATCTAGCCTTCTTTCTACTGTATACAAGAAATATACCTCAACACCAAGGGTAGACATTATATCAGAGTGAAGGGTTGGAAAAGATTTTCTATGCAAATAGACATAGAAAGCAAGCTGGTATCTCTAATCTAATATCTAGCAAAATAGACTTCCAACCAATTTAGTCAAAAGAGATGGAGGACATTTCATACTCATCAAAGGAAAAATTCACCAAGAGGACATTGCAATTTATAACATCTATGCCACAAGTGAAAGGGTACCCAACCCACATTTGTAAAAGAAAGATTACTAAAGCTTACATTACATGTCAAACACCACATATTAATTGTGGAAGACTTCAATATCTTGCCTTCACCAATGGATAGGTCCAGACAAAAACTAAGCAGACATTATGATTCAAATGACCTAATAGAAATCTGCAGAACATTTCACCCAAATGAAAAAGAATAAAAAGAATATACCTTCCTCTTAGCACTTCATGGAACCTTCTCCAAAGTTGACCACATACTTGCTCACAAAGTCTCAAGAGATACAAGAAAATTGAAATAACCCCCTGTCTTTTATCAGATTACCATGGATTAAAGCTGGATGTCAAAACAACAGAAACAATAGAAAGCTTACAAACTCAAGGAAACTGAACAACTTTCTACTGAGTCACCACTGGGTCAAGGGAGAAATAAAGAAAGAAATTAAAGACTTCCCAGAATGAATGAAAATGAACATACCCAAACTTATGGGACACAATGAACCCCTGAGGAGTTAACTACATGACACGGAGACTTCTTTTCTGGCCATCTCCATTCTGGAAGAGTGTCTGCTATGTTTTCTTTGAATAGTCTCCATTCCAGCTTCCTCTTCTACACCACACCTCTATGGCTTTGGTCTCTACAATGTGTCACAGATGTCCTCAGTGTTGTCACTGTTCTCAATTTTTCTCTATTGCTGTTTAAATGTAATAAACTCTCAGCATTGTCTCCAAATGCTTTTTTGTCTTCTACATTATATAATATGTTGGTAATGCTTTCCACTGGGTTTTATCATTTGATTTTCTCAGTTGTTTATTTTCAACATTGGCCATTTTTGCTCCCCCCCCCCAGAATCTCTGTCTCGTTGCTGAACGTCCTGTCCAAGTTCCAGAGTTTTCCATCCAAGTCTTCAAGTGACTTATTTATTTTTTGCATGTATGTATTTAAGTTCTCTTTGAGGCCACTGAGCATGTTTTGAGCAAGGTTCAATTGTTTTTTAAAACTAGGTTGGATTTTTATACAACATTTCAACAGAGTTCAGGACCTTTGGATTAAGTTAATGAGATGTTATTATCCTTTCTAGAGTCATATTGCCTGGATTACTCATGTTCCTTTGATGGAATCTGTACATCTTTCGAGATGACTGTCTGTCTTATATCCAGGTCTTCCCAGTGAGCAGACTTCTCTTGAGGTCTCCATTGCAGTATCACTCAGAGAACAGACTACAGATCACCATAACCACAACACAAAAACAAACCACATATAGAAATGTAATAAAAGTCAATTACAAGTAACAGAAAAGGCCAACAACCAACAACCACTGAAAGGAAAGGGGCAAGATGATATAGCATAAATTACAAAATTAAAATTAATGTTTGTAAAGATGATAATAACACAAGAATTAAAGTAAGGAGGATGGTGGGAAATGGGGGAAAAAGAGAAATCAGGTTAAAGTAAAGACAAAAGAAAACAGCACAAAGAAGTGAAATAAAGAGACTGCAATTTGATTACAAAATACAAATGCTTAAGCAAATTATTCAAGGGAAAGAGAAATACAAATGAAAAATGTAAAAATAAAAAAAATAAAATAAAACTGGGCCTGTTACTTAGGAAAATGAGGCAAGAATGATCATAAATACAAGGCTTGCCTGGACTATGGAGTGAGTCAAGGGCCAGCCTAGGCATATTTGTGATAACCTGTCTCCAAACAAAAAATGCAAACAAAGTTGAGAAAAAGCCCCAGCGCTGTATGCCTTACCCAGTCTTTACCAGGCCCTAGGCTCAGTTCTCACAAATAAAAGGTAGACACACATAAAAACAATAAAAGGAAAAAAAGAAGATTGTTAAGCTCTGTTTCACTTGCTCCAATACTGGTTTCTCTGTCTTCCCACTCTGTGTAGGTCGTTGTGTGTTGACTGATGGTAGGTTGGCCGGGGCTGTGTTGTCAACAACAAGCCTCCACTTACCTCACTTGCTTCTCTTCGTGTACAGAAACCCCTTGCGGACCCCAATGAACTCTGTGGCCTGTGGGCCCGGGCAGGTTCCTATCACTTCAGAGACACCTGCTCCTCCAGTCTCACACCAGGGACAGCCATGGTCCATGCAGAGAGGTGTGCATGAGAACACAGAAAAGTGGAAGCAGTGGAGAGCCGAGCTCATTCTGGAGGAGAGGTGCAGAACTGAAGGAACAGTGTGTCTCCCGGGCTCGGCTTTCTCCCACGCTGCACGACAGGAAACTACCAAGTGGGCTTCATAGGGTTCACTAAGGAGGCTAAGATGTGGGGTAAATTAGAGTAACTGCTCCCCTGCAGATAAAAACACAACCGCTAAGTCCACCTCGCCCCCTCGTGGTGAAACGCATACCCTGTTATTCCTGAGACTTCCCTCTTAAAATGTTTGGTAATCCAATACACAGAAATAGAGGCCATCAATTTGAGAGAGAACAAGGGAGGGCTACCGAGGAAAGGATCGAGGGCGAAAAAGGAAAGAGGAAATCAGTCTAATTATATTTTAATTTCAAAAATTAAAAAATCAAAAAAGTTATGGGAAGGGAGAATGCTATTTTAAGTAACTATTTTTGCAATAATAATATTACTTACATTTCCATATCTACCCACTTATGGAATTAGCATTATTATAGTTATTTTGTTTCTAGAAGCAAATTTCTGTTAGACTTTCAGTAATTCTGATTTACCCACAAATTATTTTCCTTTTTAATGGCATACATTTCTAGACCTGTCTGTGATTTGAAATATGTGGTCACTGAGACATTAAATTTTATCTACAAAAGTTCTTGATACATGAAGAAACGAATTGTGCCGAAGTAGATGTAAAAATAAAATAGTTGGTTGTGAAGCAAATTAAACATACAGCATCATCAAGGTTAAAGTTTACACAAAGTAGACAATTTGCACCTCAGGAACTATTTAGCAGTGTCTGGAGACATACTTGTTACAGTGACTTGGAGTGTGTGAGTGCTACTGGCATCTAGTAGGTAGAGTCCAGACAAGGTTAGCAATACCCTGGACAGGGAATGTGTGTGGGAGGGGAACTTGGAGGAGTGGATGGGGAGAAAGCTGTAGTAGGGATGTATCCACTGAGAGAAGAAACATAAATTTAAAAATATATATGCATAGATCTTGCTTGGATTCTCTTTTAAACAGCTCCACACTTGTGAGATGCTGAGGCATTTGAGCTGATTGGATATGTAACTTTAAGGACGTTTTTGACATGATAATGGTATCATTATGTGGATAAGAGAAGTTATCATTTCAAAGTTGATCCTGCGGGAGGAGGGAAGTGGCCGAAGCCACAGGTGGAACAGGAATGACAGAGAAAGTGGAAATAACAAAGAATACAGATAAGTTCATCAAACTATACTAATACTAAATAGATTTAATCTTCTATACCCTTAAGGGGAAAATGAGGTTCAAAGCTGACTCCAAAGACGCATTCCAGTGTAGCCGGAAACACTTCATTTGCTTGACTTTTGTTGATTCAGAGAAGTGAGAATGGTGTCTGTGAACTTGGCACTGTTGAGCTTTATATGATGAGATGTTATCCAGGGGATGGGCAAAGGAATCCCATGTGAGTAGCCTCCCCCCAACACTGGGGATATGCCCACACTTCAGAGTAGCAATGGAGAGAGTGTAAGTGAGATGCTGTGGAAGCAAATACAGTGACCTTTACCTCAGTTCGGAGAACAAGATCCACACTGCCCTCATCAGCTAGACACGGGCTAAAATAAGGCAGTCAGGGTTGGAAATGCCAGAAACTTAAGAATGCAATAGTTATGCTTTCTCAGGATGGTATAGAGAACATGTTTGGTTCTTAACTGATGGAACCACCACAAATATTTATCACTAATTATTCACTGAAATTTTAAAGGCTCCCAAGTGATCCCCTCTTAAAATTTCTGCCCTGATAAGAATAAAGGAGAAATGGACAGTACATAAGAAATCCTTAAGAGTCCTGGCAAAATACATGGGGCAGGACAACACAACGAAAAGGAACATTTTTGTGAAGGCTCTCTGTCTTTTACTCATTACACAGGCAACAAACAAACCTTACTTAATATATCTCATCTATTTAACCACACTCTGAACAAAAAGTAGAAATCAGAAGGATTAGTTACATAGAACCTGAAGTCACATTGAAAATGGGAGTGTGATAATAAAACTCCTAAGTTAGGGGTGTTTTGGGTGTTTTCCAAATTTGGAGCTTTTTATTTTTCATCAACCTGTGGCAGATGTCTATTTTGGTCCATATGCTACAAGGAATGTCTCTACATCTTCTTGTAGTTACCAGGACATTGCCAGGGACTTTTAAAATAGTTTTGCTGGGTGGTGACTGTTTTGTGGTTGAGGTCTTGAGTAATGAAGGGCACACTGTGCATCTCCGAGATTCCTGAGTTTGCATCCGAATTGTTTCTGGTTTCCTCACCCATACTCAGTACAGTTGAATTTCTCATGTGTCTCAACAAGAGGAGTACATGATTTTTTCAGCATGTGGACACAGCAGTGGTCATGAATGGTGGTTGGGAGCAGTTTTATCATGATAAGACACATGAGAAAAGTCGTCATTCAGTTTCAGGATTCTGAATGAACCATGGCTCCCCCTAATCTAAACTGAGTTTAGAAAAGAAGTTTGCAAAATTTCACCCTATCCCAGAAATGTACTTTCTTAGGTGTTTCTAATCCCAGCTCCCAAATGAAATGTTGTATTTCTTTAAATAAATTACAAAAAAAACAGTGACAAATGAGAACTTTGTTGATGCCAATATATTTCTAAAGTCAAAATTACAGTGATAAGTTTTCTTTTTAAACACTGGGAAACTATGTGAAAGAAGAAAGGATTTTGGAATACACGTAACTAATTCTTTTGATCTTTTGCCATCATGGAAACGATCTCATTGTAAACCTCTTGAGGAGCATTCATGGCCCTGAGAAAGTCCAGATGCTTGTAACGGGGAACCTCCTTATGGTAAATGAGGTTTTGGAGTTTGGGAAGCAGCATGCTAACATCTCGGGGATCAGCCAGGATGTCGTGGCCACCATTCCACACTGCAATTGGTACAGTCATAGCTGACACGTCATAATCAGGAGGTGTTCTCTGAAACATGACAGGTAAAAGACGTGGAGTTTAGGCAACCATGATTCAGAACCAGTATGAATTGTGTATTAGTTCCAAATAAAATCTAATGATCTATTCAAGGAAATCACCTTTACCCACAGAGCAAAACAAACATCATAGTTTGGACAAATGTTTCTCAACTTCTAATAGGTCTGTCAATCTGCTAGGACTCTTGTTAAAATGAAGACTGACTCAGCAGATCTGGGAGCAAAGTCAGAGATCTCACACTTAGGGGATGTTGATGCTGTTGGTTCTAAACTAAGAACTAAATGGTTGGTCTGTAGATGAAAATTCATACCAATTAAAAACCTAGATTTTAGTTCAGCGGAAGAAAGAGGATTTAACTAGATTCTTGGGTTTGTGTGTGTGATGGGTACATGCAAACCACTGTGCACCCTGGCTTTTTATTTCTAGAAAACCACTATTAACACAATGAGTTTATAAAGATTTACAAAACAAAAAGTAGTACAAGAGAGGCATCTCCATGATTCACATATCCACACACACTTTACTTAGGTGCTTTTGTACTTTAGATATTATTTCATGAGTTATTATAGACTAGGCTTACATAGAAAACACTGCACATTGATCTATCACATTGGCAAGGATTTGACTAGATTTTACAGTAATTTCTGCCTTTTCTTACATTCCCTCACATGTTGGCTAAAATGTGGAGAATATCTATAATACACTTAGTTTTGCTTACACACTATTGACGAAACACCTTCTTAGATGTCATCTCTACTTCTAAATTAACGTCACTGATTTCAATGACAATTAACCAGATGTATGATTGGCTGGAAGAAGGGTAGACTTGATGATTGGTTCTCAGGTTCTTGCTTGGCTATCTATGATTGAATCCTTTGGTTACCAGAATGAGAGTGAAATAACACTGTAAATTCAAAGCAAGTCTGAACTTTCTGAGTTTGTCTGAGAGTATTCTGAAAAATCTCTTTTAAAGACATCAGATAAGTAACAGAGTGGGGCTTTTCTTTATATGTAGAATCTTGTTATGAAAACATATACTTTTCAGTTGTGAGTCAGGGCAGTTAATGAAAATTAAGGTTATTCAGCTACAACTTGTGGAGAAAATTGGGTTGTTTAAATAGGAAGAGTGGCTCACAAACTATTTGACTTGCTCAAAATTAATCAATGATAATGAGAGATTTTGCCCTGAGCAAAGGGTTATATCCTATTAGTAATTTCGTACTCTGTGAATTATTGTGCAAATTTGTATTGGCCACCAATTAGATCAACTCCAGGATTTGGGTCCTTTGTACCACAGCAAGTATGAAGATTACAACGCACCTTCATGCTCAAAATTATTTCCAACTCTGACCTGAAAACACACCACATTTTTTTTTCTAATTGGAAATGTGTTCCATAAAATCATTTGTCTGGCTGTCCAGAAGGCGAGGCTAATGCATGAGTAAACCAGTTAGACTCATGAATGGACATAACTATTAACTTGCTTCACCCAGTTCCACTTCAGAAAGAAGAGCGTATTGTGGGGAGGCTGGACTGTAAAGCAGGGCTGTGCAAGGACCACGTGCTGTTATTTTATGGAACATCTTCACATGTGATCTGGCAAGACTCTGAGGTCCATTTCCAGAGTAGAGTAGTGGGATAACAAGAAACTGGACAACAACATTACTTTGAAAACTGGATACCCAATTATCATACTTTCCTTTCCAAACTTTTATGTCTCTGTCTTTTAAATTGTGAACAATTTCATTCTCAAGAAACTTACCTGATTGTAGTGTAACTGATTCTGGAATGGGCTTCCCCAATTAAAGGCTTGAAGTCTCCCAGCTCTAGCAACCTAAAGAAAATGTAAATGTAAAAATTAAGTTAAAAATTAGTTACAAGTAATTGAAATTAATTGGATAAAACTTATAAACCACCTGAAAACAATTCAGCCTCCAAATACCTCATTTTCATTTTTTTTAAAATTAGTGAGAAAATATTTTCTCATTCCAAATAATTACTAACCATCTAGGATATGTGGGTTCAATACATAACATATGTGAGTGCAAATGCAGCTTTGTTCCAACTTCTTTTTTGCATGGCAAATCATAAACATAATTATTTCTTTGCTACTCAAAGCACATGTTTTCATAAGATTTTCATGCACACAGGTTAAGAGGTTTTTGGTTTTTTTTTTTTTTCAGGTTGACGTACATAGAAGAATTGCCTGTCAGGAACATCTTAAGAATGTGCTTGGGGTTAAGGTTCAATCCCACAAAATGAATGCTAGCAACACTGAAATAATGATACCTGGGTCCAGTGGAGGATGTTTTGAACAGATGTTCCTGCTGGATTATCACCTGGGTACTCATCAAAAGGACTCTAGGAATCAAACACACACACATACACATAGGCTTAGACATACTTGGTTTCTGAAAAACAATCAGTAGCTAAGTTTTCTGGTTCAAGCAAGTGTTGCAGGGTAACCTCTAACGGAAGGATGAACAATACAGTTGCATGACAGCTTAGAATCTACAAAGCACACCACTGGTTTTAACCATGATGAGCAAGGTAGCTGATTTACCAGCTCTATATTTTTTTCAAGCAGATTTTGAGACCCAAAGAAATAAATATCAGGTTCACATGAATAGTGACCATCAGTATGAGGCTAGAAAGTTTTACCTAGTTTCTGAACCTAAATTCTCAACTTTCTATTTAGTATCAGTGTGCAAGAGGTTAAATATTATATACAGGTTGCTTGCTTTTCATGATTTTAATTTATATTAAATAATTATACATATATACACACATATGTATATAAGAGTTACCATATATATTTACTTATAGTATTCTATCTAGTCCTTAAGTCACATTGCTCACACCTGTTAGCATTCTCAAGTTCCATTTCCAGATTGCATGGGCCAATTCAATAGTGGGTCTTAGACTGTGGAGTAAGATAACCATCACCAAAGAGACTGAGATCTCCCTTTATATAAGCAGCATGCAGAAGACAAGAGCTCTATTTTTGTTTCTTTTCCATATCTCTAGTTTGCTATTATCTTTCTCTGAAAACTCTTATAGATATGATAAAAGAATCAATCTGTGTTTTTGTGGAGTAAGCCCAGGATTCTCTTTTACATTCCTCATACATAAAGAGAAACAGCCTCAAATTGAAAAGAGCAAGAAGGGGCCCTTACCACCGTAAGTAAAACCTAAAGGAAAATTATAAACAAATGTGAATGTATTTATCATCAGCACTGAGAAAGACAACTAAAACTCCTTAGTCTCCATGGAGGTAGTAGCTTTGTTTTCACTACTGTGTTCCCAATGAGTACAGATATTAGTATGTTACATCTGATAGTAGCCGTGTTTTAACTACTATGTTCTCAATTAGTGCAGAAATTAGTAAGCTACCTCTTTAACTTAAAATTCATTTTTTAGGAGTTCAAAGATATAAATTAGAGTCAAGATCACCCCGTAATTCCAGCTACTTGAGAGGCTGAATCAAGAGGATATAGCCCTACATTGGCTATAGAATGAGTGACTCGGAAATTTAGCAAGATGCTGTCTCACAAAAAATGTTATTTAAAAATACTGAAAATATATCTCATAAGTATAGCATGGTCTTAAAATTCCTAAGGTCTATGCTTAATAACACAAAACAAAACCACAAAAACAAAACGAATGATCAGCCAGAAGAAGTGTGTGTATGTATAATAGTAATAGTAATATGTATACTATGATCATTGTTATGTGCTTTATGCTATGTTCTGTTCTATTTGTATTAAATACCTTAGGTGATTTGAACTTTACAATAGCATTGTGTGTGTGTGTGTGTGTGTGTGTGTGTGTGTGTGTGTGTAAACCACTACAGGAGTTTAAGTCAGTTCCAAAAGTAGAATTTAAATTAGGCTGACTTGAATCCATATGTTTAAGGCCCTCATGATATTGGAATTTCTCATATAAGCCTTGAAACTCCAACTCCAGGGGTAAAAATGCAGAGCAAGATATGGATAACCTGTTTCATAGCTACACCGAAATGTGTTTTACAAATGAATGGCTATGACTAGCAGTATTAAAAGACTTCATGGCATTTACTTGATGACTATGCATTGTTCCTCAGAAGAGCCTGGCATTAAGGTTCATTCCCTTCTGTCACAGAAGCTAAATGCCACGCTAGCCAAAAGTCAGCCATGTTTTGAATGGGAACAAGAGCTGAAATTGGAATGAGCAGTAGCTTGTGACTTCTCTGGACTCTACCACAATGCTGTGGGCACAGTTCTGAGGTGATGATGAAAAAACAATCAAAAGTGTTTGGGAAGAGTGTCTTGAATAATGGAGGCCACAAAGCATACATACCACATTCAAGTTCTTTCTGTCAAACCCACACATAATGAATAAAGCGTTGCTGCAGAGACGATCCATCAGCTCCCGAGAACACACTTCTGTACCGGGAATTCGATCAAAGAAGGTGTGTGGCATGAACATTTTGTCACCAAATATAATCTGAAAAATGAGAGCATCATTAGAACATGGCAGCCTCCAAGCTGTAGAAAGCCCTCTTCATTGCTGCAAACACTCATTCAGGTAGTGATTATGCTTGTTTTTCTTTAATTCTCTAAGTAGTTTTAGAAATTTCCTCTCCTTTAGACCAGTATTTCTCATTATGCACAAAAACCCAACTCCAAACAGATAAAAGACCTAAGTGTGAAACCCCAAACAGCTAAGCTTCTAGAAGAAAGCATTGTCAGTACCATAAATGATATAGAAATAGTAAAGGACATTCTGAATGAGACTCTCTTAGCCTAAGAATTAAGGCTAACAGTTGACAAGTGGGACCTCATAAAACCAAAAAGCTGCACAGCACAGGAAACAACCAATTAGTCAAAGAGGAGGGCCACACAATGGGAAATAATCTTTGCTAGTTATACCTCTGGCAGAGGGTTAATATCCAGAATATATAAAAGACAACCAAACCAAACCAAAAAGAAACCCATTCAAAAAAAATTGACCCAGAACATGAGTAGAGAGTTCGTAAAAATAAACAAACAACACATAGTGGCTAAGAAATATCACAGAAAGTTAATTGTCTCTAACAATTAGGTTAATGAAAATCAAAACAACTATAAGATTTTATCTTATCCCTGTCAGAGTGGCAAAGGTCAACAAGCAACACATAATAATAATAATTATTGTCAGTAGAATGCAGGGAAAGGGAGCTCTACACTTCCTGTTGAGGGCAGTAGAAACTTGTCCAGCCACTCAGGAAATCAGTGTGGAGAATTCTCAACAAACTAAAACTAAATCTACCTATCT